ATATTTTATTGATAAATATGAACCTGTTTAATAAATTATATTTACTGGAACAATAAGTGATACTAAACTCAGATATTCCATCCTCTAATCCATGTGTCAAACTCCAGGCCCACGGGCCAGATCTGGCCCTTGTTGAGATTTTTTCCGGCCACAAAGGGAATACTTTAAACATTAAATAGTTTTATGGTTTCTGTTTTTGTCACGGGATTTAGTGTATTCTTCTCATCACAGCTGGCCAACTTTCAAGCCAAAAAAATTCAAGTTTTAATCTTTCAGCAATCTATGATTTTGGAGCAACAAAGAATCAACTTCATCTTTTTATTTTCTTCTTATTATTATTAAAATATATTTTCTTTTTTAAAAGTCAAATACTTGGTTATTTAAAGAGGGTTTTAATTTTTTTCACCTGATTTATTGGATTGTGATACAATGCATCTCAGAGATAATATACTGTACAAAAAGTTGTTAATAGAGAGTAAAGCATAAGAAATGAATGATTTTCTAAATTTAATCTTTTTCTTTATTTGTTAGGCTATAGGTGTTCTATATGCTACCTACAACATAATTTGGAAAAGTAATTTTTTAAATAAGAATTTGTTAAATAACATGTGTTGAATAGTTATTGACAGAAATTGGTCGTTGGCTTGTTCCAAGGTTTTAATTTCATCCCCCCTGAGTATCTGAATTTGACGCCCCCTGTTCCAATCAATCCTCACTTCGGTCTACAGATGGCGCTCTGAGATTCTCACAGCAGACTTGGCAGACCCACCCACTGCTAGTGGATAACACTGTAAATAGCTTGTTCTGGTTGTTCAGTTGTGACCACACGTCCACCCCCCCACCCCCACCCCGATGTGATAACACCAGCCCCGAGCCCACCTGTGACACCAGCGGGGGCCTCTGCAGAGGAGCCATCTCAAACGGCTGCTTGGCTTTTTTAGCCGCTTCATAAAGACGCAGCAGCTCAAATGAGCGGGCTCACTAATGTGGGAGTTTGACATTGTAATAATCCATCCCCGGGGTTTTTGATACAGCTTCTAGTAAAAGCCTGGGAACCAGAGGCTGTGGCACCGTGAAGCAATCATGTCTGACATGAATAAAGACCCCACCCATCCCAGTGAAAGATGAGAAGACGGAGCTGTGTTGTGTGTCAGCCAGAGGAGGAGGAGGAGGAGGGCGATCATCCTCTTTATATAATTATCAAGTCTGGCTGATGGCTCCGGCTGGGATAAATCGAGCAGATATAACATAACAAGATAAGCCTTGGAACTGATAGGGTGTTCTTGATGCAACAGGAAGAAAAAGATTCCCACATGCGCAGCAGCTACACACCTCTTTTCTGCATGAAGCTGAAGAGRTCATCCAGAAACTCTTTCCTCTTGGGGTCTCCGTCCAATTCGTAGAGCTGCGGAGACAAAAAAAAAGTGTAAAGAAATTATTAAAGCACCACAGGTTTGCTTTGTGTGATAAAGAAAACAAAACAAAAACAAATATTTTAGGATCAGACATTTGATTACTGAGATCAGAGTGTCCTGCTGTAACAAAATCACTTTCAATATGCAAAGAATCCTTGATGGGAAATGAAAATGACGTCAATCGCAGTCCTAAAACTATAATCAGCGACAGAACGTATCACAGTGAGATAAAAGAATGCCTCAGTTTCAAACGAATTGTATCTTTTGTTGAAAAAAGACAAAGTTGTTGCCTTTTTGGTCAGACCTTAAAAATAACACTGTGCTCATCTTCATAAAATATTGCATCATCTTAAGTGATTTGCATTCGTGTGTTTTTAAATAACCGTCATCTACAAAAACATCAAATGTTAGCTTAATATCTTTGAAATTCAATGAGTTATAGCTATTTATGTGCAGGCGACGATCAAGTAGTTGTGGCAACCATTTTGAACTGGGTTGACTCTGATTATTACTTTCTGGGAGCTTTGCTAAAATTTGTCCACTGGTTCATGAGATATTTTGCTAACAGACAAGCAAGGTTGACTTAAACAGTTAGTAACAAAGTTTTAAACAAATCTCACTCTCAGTTTAAAGTGCCTGTGACATCAAATTTTTGTAAAATATATAAAATAATTTTTTGGAACGATATTTGCTTTCTGCAAATAAACAAATAAACAAATAAATAATAAGAATAAAAAACATGTTGCTGAGATGAACAGTTGTTGAGATATTAGCATTTGAAATAACAGGAAGTGATGTCAAAGGGGAATGACTGTGTGTGAACAGGAGCATTGCTACAACGGCTAACAACAAAGATTGCGGAGAAAAATCCAATGTTTCTTAGATTATTGTGAGCCACTATCAGAGAAAAATTAAGAAAAGAGTTCAAATCATATTGTTTCAATAAACAAAGACAAGTGAGTTCCTTTTCTTTAAGAATTCCCCTTTGATGTCACTTCCTGTTTCACTTTGGCTGAGCCAAATTCAAAAGAAGATATGACAATTATGCCACAAACTGAGTAAAATCATGTATATCATGTTAAGTTTCTTAAATATAAAGATGTTTCCTTTGATTTTATGTATTTGAAGTATATATATATATGTCACAGGCACTTTAAGACGGACATCAGACAAAATTTGAACTCAGAAATTGAGCTCATTTTAGCTTTTTTTTTTCTAAATCAGCTGGCTGCGGCAGCCCTCTTGGTTTGAGATGAATCCAAAAGTTAATCAGTTGTAGACATACAGATAATTTTTTCCCTGAGAGTTTCTTTCATGAGATATTTTGATAACGGTTCAGACATTATTACATTAAAACACGACTGCCTTAACATTTGGCAGCAGGTGACAAACCAAAATGAAAATATCTGTCAACTCCTAGAAGAGACATTAATTCTTTCTGATAGGAGACGATCGAGGGGGAAACAGAGACGAGCTGTGGGGGCATGATGAGAACCTGATGTGGGTCCAGCTGCAGGCGGGGCTCTGGGCTCCGGAAAGTTCAGTGAAAGTTAGCAGTAAAACTGAGGCGCTCACTCGGGTGAGGTCTGGTGT